CCTCGTAAACTGGCTGCTGAGTGTATGACTCTGGAATCTAACTGCTGCTGCTCCGGTATCTCCCTGGCTACAAGTCCATAAACACACTCAATCAAATACTAAACATTGCACTTGGGTAAAATGACTCTTTTACCCTTGGTCACAGTCAACTCTCATTTGACCTGACTCGCCGAGTTGGGCCGCCAACTCGCCGAGTCTCTACTCTCACACCTCAACCCTACTCGCTGCTACTCGTCGAGTATGGCATCGACTCGACGAGTACCCTCTCGATCCAAGAACTCAGACAATCTTCATCCGACTCGCCGAGTCATATGAACAACTTGACGAGTTGTTCTTGAACTTAAGAAGATTGCCTTGGACTCGCCAAGTTGTATGAACAACTCGCCGAGTCCCTCCATTACTGAGTCTACCCTCAACTCGCTGAGTCCACCCTACTACTCACTGGTCCCACACGACAGTCACCGCTCAAAAGGAAGGAATCGGGGACTCGCGACTCGACTCGCCGAGTCACCGCCATGCAACTATTCTACACTCGTTTATGCTCGAATCCAAAACATACAAATGATAGATCTGAGTCCAATAAGCTGGTTTACCACGTAAAGTTTCCAACTTTACGTGCACAACACAAGAACAAGGGAATAAAGGCTAAAAGATGCATAAAAGGGGTAGATCTAGGGTTAATATGCAAAATAGCTCCAAAAAGGCAGTAGATCTGGGCTCTACAGATCCTAAATACACAGATCTAAAGATATCTCGGCATGATAAGGCTTCCATATCAACATAATGCTTGAGAAAGGCATCAACTAGATCTAAAAAGGGCTTTTAAGCATAAAAAGGGAAAGAAACTAGAAGAATACCTCAAAGAGCTCTTGCTTTCCCTTGAATCTCGGCTCTACACTCCTTCTCCTTGCTCCTTTCTTCTTCTCCTTCTTCAAACCTTCACAAATGCACACAAAATCACTTACAAACACTCAAGGATGAACTAGGGTTTTTCTCACAGCTTCTGAGGGTGAAGGAGGCGAGAATGAGGGCCATAAGGTGGCTTAAATAGTGGGCAACCCGGGGATTTAGGGTTTCACCCAGACGGACAGACTCACCGAGTCCGGAATATGGACTCGCCGAGTCTCCAGCTAACATGTGCTCGAAACCCCGACCCTACTCGGCGAGTCAGGCTATGAACTCGCCGAGTCCCTCTTGCAAAACTTCAAAACAAATACCAAGGAATTAACATACCGGAAACGGGTCGTTACATAATTATTTATATTCTATACCGTATACCACGATTTCGAACACGAGAACAATAGAACAACACATAAAGTAGTTAATATAGGATTGTGAGACCTATCTTCGTTATACCCCTCAGGGTACCAGTAAATCCTCACCTTTAGTATAACCAGAGTCTCCTAGAGGGAGAGTGTGAAATTTGTGAATAGATCTATTCGGGACCGATAATCCCACACCTAAACTATTAGGTACAGTTAGGAAGACACGCCTGGGGTGACAAATTTTGTAACCATACGATGCCTGAAGAAACGTCAATGAGGTCATCAGTCATAGCAGCATGGTTATACGAACTCACAATAGTATCAACTAACCTTTGTTTACGGGATTTCTTTCTTCTATAGTTTTATTTTAATTAATAAAACTACCTATCTACTTACTGGAGGGTATTCCAAGAACATAAACTTTGGTTTTATTTTAAGTAATAAAACTACTATACATACTGGTGGTAGCCAGGGTTTTCAAACAGATCATATGCTACATACTGGTGGTAGCCAGGGTTTTAAAACATTTCATACACTACATACTGGTTGTAGCCAGGGTTTTTGAATGGATCATACACTACATTTCAAACAGATCATATGACTCCAACTTTGGCCAAATAACATTTTACAACCTTAAAACTTCATGTTTTTCGCAAATTGGGCCCTAAGGCCGTGAGGCCCAAAAGTTGGGCCCAATAATCTTATATTTGCATATTTGACCCTTGTAAAAGTATGTTTAGCATAAAAATATTTTTTTATACATATAGGACCTGTTTGGCCCCTTTTAAAACAAAATTTTTGCTTTCCACCCTTATATTTTGTTTTCTTGACAATTTCGACCGTTAACATGATTTTTGTTGAATTCTTTTGTATCTCACACATGTGTTCTTCTTTGGCTTGGTAATATGATATGTATAATGTAGTAGTTCGTAGATCATTTCTAGATAATACTTAAATTTCGAGATTTGCTATGATCTAACCCATTATTACCAAATAAAATAAGTATTCACACAAAACATGCATGTAACACATAGATCTACACATTTAATTGTATTCTCCCCCCCCCCCCCCCAAAAAAAAAAACAAGTAAAAAAAATACAAAACAAGGGGGTATGAAATCACCTTTTCTTGATGTTTCGGTTTTAAAGAAGAAATGGAGAAGATTTTGGTCCTAGCAAGCTTTCTTGAGTGGATTTCGAACTTATGGAGTTCTAGGAAGCATAATCACCAAAAACTTGCTTAAAAGAGTGATCCAATCATGAGAATAGATTTATGTACTTGTATGCATAAAGACTTACCAAGAAGTGGATTGCCTTGTGAAAACCTCCTTGAATCACAAGCAAATTTCGATATTTTGGAAGAAGGTGTAGGATGATCTTTTAGAGTGTTTGAGAGAGTTTAGTGTAGTGTGTGTGTGTGTTTGTTTGTTTGTCTTCGGCCAAGAATAGAAAAGGAGAGGTGAGAGAGATGGTGAAAGGACTAGCATGGATACATGATGGTTTAAAGCCTAGACGTATGTTGGATTTTATGGAGGTGGTACTCCAAAGTCAACTCCATTTCCTTATTTTTTTACTCATGGGAAGAAGGTGTTGGGCTAGGGGAATGGGTAGGGTAGTTTGGGTCCAATTCTTGCCTTGGTTCGAAACTATAAGGCCCAATCATTATTTTTCGGCCCAATGGGCTCCTTAGATGGGTTACGGCCCAAATAGATTAAAAGAGAGGGGCTTATGGTTCACTAAGGTTAATTGGATTAGTTACGACCCAATAAGGCCCATTAGGGTTAGAATGAATCATTTTAGACCCAAGTGGTCCAAAATGTTTTAGATTTATGAATTCAGTCCAATTAGGATCCAACTAGGGCTTCTAAGTCCCATGAGGTTGAATTCGGTACTTATTTGTCCATTAGGCCCAATAAGGAACTCCTAGTCCACCATGGACTTAAGCCATGAATCTTAGCGCTTCAGACTCTTTGATGAGCATGCATGGTGAATCTAAAGATGCATTAAGTGAGATTTACTTAGAATATAAGTTTTATAATAGTTGAATGGTTACACAATAGAATTTCCTAGCTAAATGCCAATTATCACATTAGGGGTCGAAGCGCTCTGAACTAAAAGTATATGTTGAATTAAAGAATCGAGTATGAAATCAATCAGAGTTTTTCAATGATCAAATTAGTTGTTAACAGGATAAGAACACCGATGTAAATATAATTTCCGATTCAGCTCTATTACGCTTCTCAAGGTTTACAGAGTACAAGTGAATATTCTGTAAAGACTCTATCTCTAAGACTGTATAAAACACTCCTATTTATAAGAGAGGAAACCGTACAAAAAATATTCTAAGGACTAAACATTAAGCTTCAAATACATTGCCTTAGAAAAATACATTACATAACATACGAAGACATGAAGCCCTTCGTATGAAGACCTAATCCCTTCAACTAATTACAACATTTTTACCCTTACAACCTCCCATTTTGTGATTAAAGTCGAAGTCTTCAGCTGGTCAACAATTGGATTGAATACATCATAACCCTTCTTATCTTAGTATACCATGCTATGAACTTCTTAATCTCCTTCTTGTCTCCTTCGTTATTCTTTTTACAATGATTCATACGAACGATCAAGTTCGTATATTGAGAAGTTGAATATCGCTCAACTTCACAAGTTTGAAACAAAAAATGTTTTTCCCTTCCTGCCTTGTCTTTCCCAACAAAAACAATACCCAATGGTTTTAAACAGATTTCACCATCTTCGAATTTCTTCAGTTCTGATTGTTTCTTCGTAGGAGCCATGGGTGCAGTAATTTCAATTCCTTTTACTGTTGCCAACTCAACATCTGTCTGAGCAAGACATTCAAAATAATTTTCTATAAAGATCTTGATGTGTTGACAACCAAGCTTGAATACATCTGGTTAGGTATCCTGAAGAAAGGAAAATGACTTGTCCCTTAGCAATAATTCAACTTGTATAAGATCATACAAGTTCATCAACGGAAAGTCTGCTATAGTGAAGTCACAAGTTTTTCCACTTGATCTGATCACTGAGTATCTGAGATTTTGGATGATATTTTCAAAAATCACATCTCTTTTTATGCTGATTACTTTCTTTATTTTCTCCAGTGACCAAACTTCTTCAGGAGCTTTACCCAACACTGCATGAAAACGAATTTTCATCTTCTTCCATTCATCTACATCCTTGCACTTGACTTCAGCTCGAAACTGAGGCATAATAAACATCATATTATTCATTGGAAAATCCAGCTGATTTGAGTCAGAGTTTGGAACCACATAAATTTTCTTTGGAATCTTCTCAAAAGAGCACATGTGATCAAACATAACTCTAGCCTCAATTGTTTCATAGTTGTATTGCTTCGAAGGATCTCCTTTATCTAAATTTGCAGGATCTTGAGCACGAAGAGTCATAATACTTTGTAAATGTCTCATTTTTTCTACTTCAGCCTCAACCTCAGCTTTCTTTTCTTCTTTCGTCTTCTCAATCAAAATTCCTTTCCCTCTATCTTTCAAAGCTGTTTCAGTCACCACAGTCTTCGTTTTTTACGCACTCCCACCTGCTTCTCCAATTACAACTCCCTTTAGAATTGGTTTGGTTAAAGGAACAATTGTAACCACAGTAGAAGAAACTGAACCAGATAAAACAACAATAGGTTTTGCACCAGAAATTTTCTTTCCCTCTACCTTCGAATGTTCCCCAGCTTTTGCAAAATCAATTTTCATTTCTCTCGCACCCCTATGACAATAGGTGGGGCAACTGACACAGATGGAAGAAGGCTGGATATGCGAGTAAGAGGGGACAATTGTTTGTATAAAATCGATTCAAACTGCAAAAATTTCTGTGACAAGAATTCTGGAAGAATCAACGAAGAAGGAACAGGCTTGACTGATATTTCCTTCGATTCCTTTAACAACCCAAGCAAATCACCATAATACTGATCTTCTTTATCAGAAAGAAGAGTAAGTTTAGGACTCATACTTTCGAAGAGTTTGACAAATCTGGTAACCGCATCACAGATAATGTCAATCTTTTGATTCATAGAAGCATAATCTTGTTGGACAGCTTGAACTTCCTTCTACATATCTTCACGAAGTTCGCGTATTTGTAAATTGACATCTTCTCGATCTTTCTTTACTTCTTGACAAAATAACACATGTATTTCCTTGGTAACATGTTTCAAGTCTTTTACTTCATGCAGAAAACCCTGACGTTGAGAAGTCATACGAAGATCATTTGATTGATCAATAGAATCAACTTTCTCCAAAAGCCATCCTTCATAATCCCTTATCATGCCAGGAACTTTGTTTGTGACCTTGGATTAGAAGACCTTCAACAGAGAATCAACCTATAAACTTGAAACAGAAGAACCCCCCAATATCCGCTTGAGACTGAAGAATATAATTCAACTTTGAATTTAAAATTTTAAATTGCTTCATGGTCATTAACATGTGATCAGGAAAATCTTCTTCTTCTGCATCAAACTTCAAATCTTCAAACGTTCCTCTAAAACCTTCAGTATCAGTTTCAGTCTCCAATTGCATGGTATCATCAATAGGTGAATTTGTTTTTGGTGGATCGGTAGATTAAGATGAAAAAATTGAAGTGAAAGGGGTATTGATGACATGTTGAAAAGTGGGTGAATCAGTGGTAGATGTGATGGGAACAATTGGAGTAATCTGTGGAGATAAAGAAATACCTTGATCTGCAACCTTCGAATTATTCTCACCCATAATGACATTTGTATCCATATCAGATATGTTTACAGTGATGTCTGAAGTTCGAGACTCCAGAGACACTATATTGACAATCGAAACTTCGGGTGGTTGAGTCACTGAAGTGTCAACGGTAGAAAGAATTGCTTCAGGAGTTTCAGGAATAACTTCTATGTTATCAACGGTGGAATCAGAAGAAATGATCAATTTTCTCTTCTTCTTCTGAGAAATATGTTTGGCCATGTCATCATCCATTCTCTTCTTTATTGAAGGAGACACAAGAGTAGGAACTTCTCTAAAAATTACTGGCTGGTGAGAAACTTGTTTAAGAACCATCTTTGTACCCAACGATCTTCTCTTTGTCTTCGATTTCATCTTAATACGCTTGAATACACCAGTCTTCGAAGGAATTATTTCGTTTTCAATGACCTGGGTATCAGGAGCAACAGGCTTTGGCTGATCGAGTTCAAGTGCAATTACAAGAATCAGATTTGTTTTCTTCGAAGACTTTGCTTTGGTATCCGAAGACCCAACATCAGGTTTCTTTGTCTTCTTGGATTTCTTCGCAGATGGTTGTGGTAGAAGAATCCCGGTTTCCACAGAAGTATCAATAGTTGCTAAGTAAGAAACCAAGACATAATTCGAAGTATCAATTCTCTTGAGCATCACATCAGGAATACGAGATGCAAACGGAAACTCATCCAGATCATCCGTTGCATCCTTTGGACAATGGTATGTATGAAAAACAGCTTTCTCCTCATCAGCTGGTACCAATATCCCTTATCTATCATAAAAATATTGTAAGATCAGGCTCCAATATCTAGCACACGAAATGCCCTGAATAGCTTTCGTATTCTCGATGCTCTTTTGAAATTCCTTCCATAATTGAGTTGAATAGTCTACTTGAAGATCATAATACAGCCCGTCTACCATGGTGTATACCTCCATTCTTCCTTTATCAAGACCTACCGTTCTGCCAGTCAAGCAACAAAGAAAAATGCCAAATAGAAAATTCCACACACAAGGAAGTCCTGATTTCTTGAAATCACTGATTTTGGTTAACTGTGGTTGATGTCCCATTTCATTGAACATGTGGACTATTTGTGGAAATGTGAATGACACATATGGTGAAGAGTTTGGGATAGCAAGAATTTTGCAAAACAGCTTTTGAGTCAACCTAACCTTTTTGTCGTTGATTAGGTTAAATGTAACTGCATCCAAGGCCTTTGAATATGTAGTAGTTGATCCCGCTTGGGATAACCAGGAAATAGGAATAGCAAAAGAGTTAAACATTGCTATTGACAGAACAAAATGTTGCAGAGCAACGACCAACATCTTAAGTTCTTCCGGATACAATGACACATTAGACTCCACCTGATAGTTTGTTCCTTGGATTTTCATGATAGGTAATGAAGTAACATCATCTGTGGTGTGTGAAGGTTTAGCCGCAATATTCTCCACATTCGCCATTTTTAGGGTTTTGAACAAGATGAAGAATAGAGAATTTTTGAGTTGCAGAGCGTATTTGAGATAATGTAAGCGTAAACTGATGAATACCCCTTGAATCCCCTTTTATATGTAACTCTTCAATTTGAAATCAAAGTGGAATAAGCATTTAATGTTTGTTGACGTGTCACCGAGAAAAGCGCATCATGATGATGATAAAGTAACCATGCGTCAAAAAGTAACTGTCACATTGCCTTGAAAACCGGAGGTAATATAAAACGTCTCATCAACCAGACTGTTTTATTGACCCAATGGAATTGTAACCGTCAGAACCCTTCGGATGGAGGTTAGGCTCTTTTACTTTTGGGATTTAAAGTAAAGTCATTTGCCAGAGATTCGAAATCATCATTCTGAGTTGGTATTACTCAGAACCTCAAGGATTTAGTGTGTGCATTGTGTCAAAGAATTAATATCAGAAGCAAATTAATTTTTTTTTGGATATTTGTGATGTCAAAAATAAATTTGACACGAAGGCAGTTAAACCCCAGGCAAAGGTTGCTTCGTTAATTATCAAGAGAGATAATCAACAGCTTGTTTATGTTCTCGTGAAATACAATCGAAAACTTGTAGATAAGTTTCGAAGGTAATCTTTTGTAAGGTTACATGGGTGGCTAAAAACAATTTCGTTACATGTCAGCCTTAACATAAGGTGAGTAATTGTAACAGAAATTACCTGTGTGACCAGTGTAGTCAGTGACAAGTGTGTTTTGAAAAATATTGAAAGTAACTTTGGAATTCGAAGTAAACTCACACAGAAATCATATTCATGAAAAAAAATATGATGGATCCTGTTGGGTAACAAATTTCATGGGTAACAAAAATTTGATCAAGATCACTCATACGAAATGAATATGATTTGGAGTTTTGAAGATTGGTACTGAAACAAAAGTTTTGTTAAAGCTGGAACATATTTCCCCATCAATTCTGTAACTTGGAAAGAATTTTGGGTTTCACTATCATCACGGTCTCATGACAATTGATCATTAACATAGATGTGTGATATACCTAGATTTCAATTGGTTTTGATCAGAAACCTCTTGGACATATGTCTTCGTGTGTGCAAGTGTAAGAATTTTAAGATGAAAAATATTGGTTCTTTAGAAAGAATGTACCTCTGTTATATTGGACCAAATAGAAAACTCGTAACTCACGTGAGAAGAGTAAGGTAGCTCATTAAACTAATGTGAATGTAAGCCTTATTGGGAAGAAATCTTCGTATGAATAATCTCACTAAGGCTTTCGAACATTGAGTTAATTCGAGGCTTTGGACAACATACTGCAACATGCTTCTAGGGACATCTTAACTAGTTTTCAAATTTTGAAATTCAAAAAGTAGAGATTTATACCTGACCCTAGAATCTGCGAACATTTGCCTCTTCATCTCTTCAAGACTATCTATAACAAAGTAATTAAAGAAAAAATAAAATCTTTTTGTTGTTTTTAGTTTTCACAAAATGAACTTCAATATTCCCATCTTCTACATGATCGTTTATGAAGTGATAACGAGGAGCAATGTGCTTAGTCTTCGAATGCTGCACAAGATTATGACAAATTCTTATTGCACTTTGTGAATCACAGTATAAAGGAATCTTTTTCATATTAATTGCATAATCATGTAATTGACTTTGAATCCATATTATTTGTGATGTGCAAACAGCAGCAACATATTCAGCTTCGGCTGTTGAGATAGAAACACAAGGCTGCTTTTTTGATTGCCAACTTACCAATGTACCATCAAGTAATTGACATTCACCACTTGTACCTTTCTTATCCAGATTACATCCGAATATGCTTGTATGAAAAACCCAGTATTCGAAGGATACCACAATACATGCGAAGATGTTCCTTTGAGATAATGAAAGATATTCTTTACATCAGTTAGATGTGGTTCTCGAGGATTTGATTGATACATGGCACAATTACAAACAAAAAACATGATATCAGGTCTACTTGCAGTCAAATATAGTAAAGATCCAATCATGCTTCTGTATAAAGTAATATCAACGGCAGGTTTATCTAACGAAGGAGTGAGTTTAATGCCAGTTACCATGAGAATGCGTAATTTCGTGCTATTCACCAATCCAAATTTTCCGAGCAGATTCTTTGTGTAATTTTCTTGATTTATAAAATTGCCTTCTCTGTTTGACGAATGTTTAAACCAATAAAATTGTTAATTTTTCCCATCATGCTCATTTCGAACTTACTTTTCATCAGATCTTCAAATTCTTTAGACAAAGCAGGGTCAGTTGAGCCAAAAATAATATCATCAACATAAATTTGAACAAGCATTAGATGCTTCCCAACTTTCTGACGAAATAATGTGGGGTCAACTGATCATTGTTTAAATTTAGATTGCTTCAAAAATGAAGTAAGAGTTGCATACCAGGCTCGTAGTGCTTGTTTCAAACCATAAACTGCCTTATCTAAAATATAAACATAATCTGGATGTTCTTTGTTTATAAAACCTGGAGGTTGTTCCACATACACTGTTTCTTCGAGTTCTCCATTCATAAATGCACACTTTACATCCATTTGATATACATCAAAATCTTTGTGAGCTGCATAAGCCAAAAATATACGAACTGCCTCGAGTCTTGCAACAGGGGCAAAAGTTTCATCGTAACCAATTCCTTCTTATTGTGAATAACCCTTTACAACAAGTCTAGCTTTGTTTCGAATGATATTTCCATCTTTGTCGGTTTTATTTTTGAAAATCCATTTTAATCCGTCAATCGAAACATCATTTGGTTTAGGAATTAACCTTCAAACTTTATTTCGTTCAAATTTAGACAATTCAGATTGCATTGCAATCACCCAATCTGAGTGTTCCATTGGATTCTTAACTGTTTTTGGCTCAATTTTAGAGATAAAAACGTTAAACATACAAAATTCTTGATGAACATTTAATACCTCATTCTTCGCATGAATTTGAGCTCTTGTTAAAACTCCTTCACGTGGATTACCAATTATTTGCTCCTTCGAATGATCTTTTTTCCATTTATCCATTCGTGGATAAGCTGGATCAAAGTCCAAAGGTGCATCTTCGTACATTTCATCGTTTTCAGATCCTGCAATCGAACAAACATCATTAATATCATGAAAATCTTCATTATTTTGATTTAACTCCCCCTCAACATGATCATTTATTTGCTCCCCCTCAACATCATCACACGTTCTTTCATTATCCTCCTCGAAAGAATGCTCCCCCTCTAGTAGAGTGTTAGAATCCATGTGCTCCCCCTCCACTGGATCATCATGCATGCTTTCGCCCATTGCTTGAGAAAATGATGTTGATTCTGCAACTAGTTTTGAAATTTCATTGACATGATTGTCAGAAGCATTACACTCGGCAGTCGCAGCATTATCTGAAATTCCAAAAATCAGATCATAATCAATATCCATTGATTATTTATCATCAGATTCATTTTGATTTTCTTGCATTATGGAATGATTTTCAAATTTCTTATCAGATTGCTTGATATAGTAATCATCAAAAGTAACATTAAATGTTTCTTCCACTTTTCGAGTTCGTTTATTTAGTACACGATAAGCAACTGAATTATGCGAATATCCAAGGAAAATCCCTTCATCAGCTTTAGCTTGAAATTTCGAAAGATTATCCTTTAGATTCATAATAAAGCACCTGCATCCGAAAACATGAAAAAATTTCACATTAGGTTTTCTGTTATTGATGATTTCATAAGGAATAATATTACAACGTCGATGGATGAAAGATCTATTATGAGTGAAACAAGCAGTTGAAATTGCTTCGACCCGTATATATTGCGAAAGATTCGTATAGGCCAAGATTGTTCGTGCAGCTTTGCATAAAGATCTATTTCTTCGTTCAACTACACCATTTTGTTGTGGTGTATATGGAGATGAGAAATTATGCGAAATGCCTTTATCCACAAAAAATGAATCAAGAACTTTGTTTTTAAAATCAGTTCCATGATCACTCTTTATCCTTCGAACCGTCTTTTTCAAAGTTTTTTCCATTTGTTTGATGAAGTTAATCATGATTTGGGTAACTTCAGATTTAAGCCTGAGAAAATAAACCCACGTAAATCTTGAAAAATCATCAACAATAATTAAGATATACTGTTTATGATTTAGTGTTGAAATTGTTGAAGGACCACATAAATCAATATGTAAAAGCTCCAATGGTTCAACAATCTTCGAATCAATAGTAATTGGATGACCTTTTTTTATGTTGCTTGCCAACTTCACAAGCTGCACATAAAGAATTAGGGATGACAATTCTTGACACGACACGCGACACGACCCGCAACACGACACGAAATAAATGGGTTTGGGTTGAGTTTTTCAACCCGCTAACCCGTCAACCTGCCAACCCGTTTATTAAACGGGTCATATATGGGTTTCTCAAAAAATAAACGGGTTGACCCGCCAACCCGTTTATATTCTTAATAAAAAAATTATTATATTTTTAAATGTATTTATGTACCAAGTATTAATATTTAATAAGTATTATATAATATATACCATTTATTCATAGACCATTTAATTGTTTTGACAGTATTACTCATGGTGGATTGTCTAAGGTCATACGTCGTAACCTATAAGGCTAAGTCTGTAACATGTTTCTATGAATGTTTTTAATTTTCATTTGGATGTTTAAGACTTAAATATCTAAAATTTTGACCCATGAACCCGCCAACTTGTGAACCAGTATAAATAAATGGGTTGGTGGGTCATATATTGGTTTATGTTCCAAACCCACCAACCCGTGACCCGCCAACCCATCACCTGTATAGTTAAATGGGTCGTGTTTGGGTTGGCATATTTTGACCTGCCAACCCGCCAACCCGCGACACACCAACCCGAACACGACACGATTTCCAGGCCTATAAAGAATCATTATCAAATTTAAGTACACGGAAACCTCTTACCAAATCTTGAACAACAAGTTTATTGATGTTTCGAAATTTAAGATGTGAAAGTCTTCGATGCCATAACCAACTTAGATCTTGTAACGCCTGTGTTTCTGGGCCTATCATTAATGATGATATAATAGTCTAGGTTAACCTTTGTAACCCGTTTTGCAATAATAGAAGTGTATTATTTGAATATTATGTGTTTTGTGCTTAATTGCTTAATTATGTGGTTTGATTAATTAAGAATAAAAATAAGTATCAAAATTTAAGTGTAAAATAAACTTGATATCTTTGGATAATATTGTACTAGTTGAAACAAGGTTTCCGAAGATATAAAGAATGCCGAAATCCGAGTTATAACGAAGAAGTTATGACCTGTCGAAGTTTCGCGACAGAACCGACAACGCTGAATGACGTAAAAAGAGAAATTTACGTTAGAGCGATATTTAGCCTTAGTGATCTAAACGAGAATCGAAGATCTCATTGTTAGTATCGAAGCGATAAAAAGTTAGGCGAGAACTGACGTCAAACGAAGAAGTTATGAATTTATAACGAAATTTTCTGTCCCGACCTATTAAAAATAAATAATAAAAATAAAATCAAAATTAGCCAACAGAGTCTAAACGAAAGTTGTAGAGCATAGTCTCACCTTCACGTGGATATAAAGAACATCGAAAACGAAGTTCGTATGAAGAAGATATGAATTTTCGAAGTTTATTAAATAATTAATAATTAAATTTAATTATTAAATCCGGCATTATCCGAAGAGGAGTCACCGGACTCATCTGAAGTACGCCCCGCGTACCCAAGGTATGTCGACACTCGCACTCGAGGACTTCAGATGATGCATGCAGTGACGTTTCGGAGGCAGTACGCCCCGCGTAATAGGATGCGAGGGCAGCCGGCTAAATTGCTATTTTTCTCCTTTCTCTCTCCCGTTTTACCTCGATTTGCGTGCCAGAAGTACCCCGAAGCCCCTGTAATATTCCCGAGTCCCGAAGCAATTTTCGATATCCCGAAGATCCCGAGAAGTGCGGTTCCCGAGCCGAAGCTCTGTCCGCGAGAAGTTCGATTTTTGTAGAGATCTTCCAGATCTGCTGAGGATTACTACTTCTACGAGCCGTAGTGCTGTCCGATCATCTTCTGATCAAGTGAGTGTATACTACCTTTCATAAACACGATAATAATACAAGTATGGTTTGAGTGTATTAAGTATATTGTTGTTTAAATGTGTGAGTGTGTAGTTACTTTCTTCTAACGCATAATTATGAAGTATTTTATACGAAATACGTGTTATGTGTATATTTTGTTGTTATGTGTGTGAATGTATATTCACTTTCTTCTATCTTATAGATCTGATTATTTCTCTACGAAATACGTGTTATGTGTATGTGCCTCATCTGTTATGTGGAAAATGTATTGATTGAGCATGCTATACAGGTTTTGAAACTATGTATAAAAATGTATATTTTATCTACTAATATGTTGGGTAGAACATGGGTAGATAGTTGGTGTGTAATAAACAGATGAGAGGCCTCGGTGTTGTTTTGGATCCAGTCATCTAGCGGAATTTAGATGACGACCACAGACTTTTCTAGACAGTCCAGTGGAACGCTAGCAGGCTCATAACCTATAGGTGTTAATGAACTTGGGTGTTCATTCGCTGTATTCTATCCCCCTCATGGTTGCCTTATTTGACTTATATTACTGAGGAACCCCCGAAGCATGTGTTGTCACCCCGATGAAATATTCTTAGACTAGGTCCCTTGTGTTAGTTATTTTAGGGACATAAAGTGAGAATAACGGGAATGGGTAATTGGGTTATTGTTGGTTGATGAAAATTAATTTAATTATTTATTGTGGGTTGAAAACCCTATATGCTCACCAGGCTCCCAAGCCTGACCCACTCAGTTTTATTTGTATTACAGGAAGTGGTGCAAGGGCATAAGATGGATGAACCATTAAGTTGTTTTGTTTACAAGTCTATATATATATATATATATATATATATATATATATATATATATATATATGTTGAATGACTTGTAATGTTATCGTTTATGCTTTATGGTCTGTATCGGAACATGACATCCCGAGTTTTGATTATATAATGAAAATACATTTCTTTTATGAAATGCTTTGGTAAATATTATTTTATCACGTTTTGTTTTTGGGAACAAATTCCGCAACTCTTTCAAATCAAAAGGATTTACTCTAAAATTATTTTAAAAGCATATCGGTCTTTTCTGGCCGAGATTTTGGGGATGTCACAGTTGGTATCAGAGCATTAGTTTAAACGAACTAGGAATTTGTAGGATTTCTAGACCTAAACTTAGAATGCTAAGTAGAATTTTGAGATGTGTGTCTATTAAATTTTAGACACAAGCACTAGTTTATTTTAGGAAAGTTGCCTAAAATGCTTTTATGTGCTAAATGTTATATGTTGCCATATATGATATTGTTTGTTTGGATCTACGGGTTGTTGCCAACCGGATCTGAAGGTTTATGTGTTTAGGATTCTAAACGTATGTATACGATATTAGAACTAGCATGTAATCGTTTCGGAGTGATAAGGATGATTTGAATTCTATCATGAATGAAGATCTAAATTTCACCTTATTCGGTGTGTAGATCAAAAATGGTGAGAACAAGAAGCGGCGTTGGAAACGCGGATGAAAACAGGAATCAACCGCCAGTGATTGAGCAAATACCTGTTGTAGCAGCAACACCAGAACCAATAACGATGGCTGGGGTGCAAGCCATGATTCGGGCTATGTTAGCCGAACAAAGGGAGGAGATGCGACAAATGTTGCATAATAATAGGGACGAACCTATCATACCTATTGAGGAACCTGAATTGATTCCCGAACAATCGGAGGAAGGGAACAATAGTTGCATTATGAGTCAAGTTGGGACTCAAGGAGAACGGAGGAATGATCCAGAAAGGAGAAACAACAAGGATGGGCGAATGTACAAGAATTTCTTGGGCACCAAACCGCCAAGTCTTTCTAGGATCCCAAAGCCTGTTGACATAATGGATTGGATCTCCGAAATGGAGATGGTATTTGAAAGTTACGACTGTAGCAACAAACATAAGACCGTCTTTGCAGTTAGACAACTGAAGACTGGAGTCTTGAGCTAGTGGAAGTTGTTGGCAGATACTATGCCACGAGGAGAAGCCCTGAATATGTCATGGGAGGAGTTCTTGGAACAACTAAGGGTGCAGTATTGTTCAGAGATAGATCTGATTGATCTGAACAATGAGTTCCAAAACTTGAAGAAGGGGAGGATGAGCGTAGACGACTATGCTACGGCATTCACTATGAAAAATGAAATTATTTCCGTACCTAGGGCCAACGGAACTCTCCAAGATGGAGTGGTTTGCTAATGGACTGCCTGCCGACTTTGATCCGACAGTCAAGATGGCAACTACTTTGAAAACGGCTGTTCGTGCAGCTAAGAATGTGGAGGCCCAACAAAAGGAAATGGGTCTGGAAAGGATAG